CTACGACAAGACTGAAGTCAATAGTCAACTGAATTTACTTGCGCTTTGGTGGCGCGGCATCAGCACACGCAATGCTGGGGCGGCGCAGCAATGTTGGAGGCAGCGAACTTTTCGATGGCAGAACGTACGTACATATGTATGTATCTACATCTAAACCAGCCGGCCAGCCAAACAACCACCCCGTCAACAACGCCACCCGCCCGCCACTGCTAGTAGTACATACAACACAGCTGAATGAGCAATGCAAACGATTACGCCGCGAAAGCGAAATCCAGTCATTCCCCTGCGTGCCACACACCCGCTGCCGCCCACAACACTCGTTACTTTGGAGCTTCGCTGTGCGATCAGCTTGTGAGTGCCGATACATTTTGTGGCAGAGGCAGAGCGTTAGTAGGCGTTACGGGGAGGGTGTGTACGCGTAGAGCAACAGCTGGAAAAAAGTATGTATGCGCAGTCGAGTGCTGGTGACTTGTTTGTGGAACCGGCTATCTGACTGACTGCTGAGTGCTTGTCTGCCCAGGCGTGCTGCCCCACATGCTTGGTAGCTGACACACGCACGGTAACCCATCAACAGCTGCTTAAAGTGCGCCACTGTTTTTCCTATTCAACTTCAGGCGCTCCTCATTTGCGCGTTCGCCTCCGAATCGCTGCAGCCGACGCGTCGGCCGGTGTTATCCGCTTAGTAGTGAGCAATTGGACTTGGTAGGGGAACTCCAACGTTGCATTTCGAAGACAATGCGTTTCCCTCTTTGCATTGCATTGCGAGGTTCGTTTGGTTTTTACACCCGATTGGCTTTGAGATTTTATTTCATTTTAATTGCGAGTGTTTCCTTTGGTCCCCCATCAGCACCAACAAGTCTACAATGGTTGACTGATAATTAAATCCAGACGCGCACGCATTTACGTTTCAACTCTACGCCAAGTTGTTGCTTGTGCTTTGCAAAGACAGCACAACTCGCAACCTTTGCGAATAATGCGTGCCAGCCATATGTCATATTAGGTGCCAGAGGCGTTGTGGATATAGAAATTGAGAGGCGTGCAGAAACTAAGTGGTTATTTGGGATTAAGTGAATATATTTTCTCCCCCTAGATTTTCAAATGAAGAGGAAACAAATCGGTTTATAACACATAACGGCCGATTTTTAATTGGAAATGGAGCAGAGGAACAGAAATAATGAGAATCTTCGTTAAAGAGCGCCAAATTAAACTATCAAGTAACGCCAAATATTTCATCCCATGGTCTTTTCAGCACAGCAAATCGCTTCCTCAGCTTCTACACCAACTAATGTTGCAGCGTAAAAAGTTGAAACTCTAAAGTTTGAGCTCCACATCAAGCTTTCCCAGAGCTTAGCGCTTTTCAGACATTAGGTAGGACCCACCATCTATGCTCTGCAATTACAGAGTATTTCCTTTAATTTGATTTAAGATAGTTCTCCACGAAACTCAAATTAAGCCTTGAGGACCATTATAGTATGTTTTAGAGAGAAGTAGCTGTCATTAAGGAAGCAGTCGAAATGCTAATCAAACGCGTGTCGTCAATAAGGGAGGTTAATATTCCCTACTCAGCATGGGCGTAGCCAGGTAGGGGCAGGGGGTGCTAGAACTCCCCCCCTAACTTTCAAATTTTCCTTATATATATATAAAATAGTACCCTGAAATGCCAGCTTAATAGGGTCGAGCGCTTTCCCCCCCCCCTCCCCCCCCTAAATTTCATTCTGGCTACGCCGATGCTTCTCAGCATGGCGGCAAGCAAGGGCCTGGGCTCAGTTATACTTTTACGGTGCGCTCAAAACTAAATGAAGAATGTTTTAGTTTTAACCTTATTTTTTAACTCGAAATACTTTCTAATAAGACTAAGTAGAAAGCAAACGCGAAGTAGTGCGGGTAACTTTAAACCTCTTCGGCCTTATGTCAACGCAGTGTCCTTCCCGACAAGATTTGACCAGAAGTGGTCAAAGTTCTGAGTTTCACGAAATAGCAACTCTCAATCTTGGTTGGGGTTTTGACAGGTTACTATCTGATAGGATTAGGTGCGGTGAATTTACGAATCAGCTTAGATAATTTAAAAACAAAATGGAAAAGACTTATGGCTTTTGTCCCATTGCAACGATTAGAAGGAAAAATGTACAAACTTTTAAAAGCCTGCGCATCTACATCCAATAAAAACAGTCAATCGATTTTTCTCCTCAACCGTAAAGGAGCGCTTAAACCCCAACCATATTATAAGTTAGCAACACCTCTGACAGTTGCACTTATTTTCATATGCAAGCATCTCTTACTATGTAGTTTTTGTGTATATACAGATGTATGGGTGGGTATATGTGTGTAAAATCATGAGACGCATAGTTATACCGCATAGGAAATGCACTCGCTTGTAAAATAGGCACACATATGTGTTCATATATGTATGTACATACAGACATTAGGGTGCCCTAAAACAATGAGAACTTTATTTTTTGTGAAATTGTATGCATTCTTCTTATTTTATTTCGTTTTGGTTTATGCAATGAGGAGAAGCTATTTTGTTATTATGCGATTTTCACGAAAAAGTATCAAAAATTGTATTCACAGTTTTCAGAAATTTTGAATTATTACGAAAAGAAAGGTTAACTTTACATACATATGCATTTTTCAGTATATTTATATATGTCAAAATCCCATGTATGGAACTTTAAACAATTTTAAAAATTATGTGTTTTATTTCCAGTTTCACGAAATAAATTTAATTGAAATGATTTTTTTATTTGAATTTAATATGGAAATTGACAGGAAAAAAAATAATTTTTCGCTTAAATTGCTTTCGTGAAGCCGGCAGTAAACATAGTAAAGATTTATTTTACAAGTATCCGGTAAGATATATCATTTTGCTTATATTTACATAAAATGTTCATAATAAATTGTCAAAAATCTCACAAATTTTAATTGAATATTTTGGTTGGACAAAGATTACTAATTCGATGCTATTTCGCCAAACGACCTTATTTTCTTCCCCTTTCTCTCCACCCCGAATAGCAAATGGATTTTATGAGTAGCTAATTCATGGCAAAAATACACTTGGACGTTTGTCATTCTAACTTAGATGTTGGAAACTAGATAAATTAAAAAAAAAATATTTAACAAATAACTGCCTTAAAAAATCTAAATAATATATATAATTTTTTAACCTATAAAATATACAGATTCAAAGAAAATTAAATTAAAAAAAGAAAGCAACTGAATTTCAAAAAAAAAAACAATTTAAACAAAAAAAAATCATTTTTTAAGAACAAAATGTAAATATGTATTAAATAAAAGAAAATTGAATTGAAAAAAATAAAATAAATCATATGTACATAAACAAAATTTCTAAAAATTAACTCAAAATAAAAAATGTCTAAACAAATTGAATAAAATAATAGCTTTAATAATAGAAAATAAAATATATATAAGGAGAAAATTTCTGTAGGCTACGTTTCTAATGTTAAATGAAATAAATAATATAAAATTAAAATAAAAATTTAATTAAACAAGGAAAGTAATCCGCTGCCCGATGATTCAAACCTCGGATCTCTCGAATAGCCCACCAGCACTTGGCACACTCGGCCCTTGAGACTTTTGCAGCACTTTACATATTGCAAAGCGTAAGGTCGCATTATCAAGGAACAGAGACAACCAAGGCTCCCAGCTGCCAATAGTGCCAGAGATGATATTAGTTTATGTGGAGAGATTAACCTTCGTAGAAATTATCGAAGGGCGAGGATACTTATACTAAGTGATAGTCAGGCGCACCTATGGCTCTACCATTCTTCGAGGTTAAATCCTCTTTGAAGTGCATCGAAAAGCTTAATGCCCTTGCTGAGCACAATCCCGTCCAGTTAATATGGGTATCAGATCCCGATAGGACCGGAGCTCTTCCTTATGCTGTATCCCAGGGATTCAGTGTCGTGATAAGCTAAAGGCACAATAGACCTACTAGTCACAGTACTTACCCTACTCATCTATCTACATATCTATCAATTTGCAACGTGCTCAAGTGCTTTCTCTCAAAAGAGGTTTTCTTCAAAACTGTCCCGTTAGTACAAGTCTTTACTACAGCAATAATACTATATACTAGGATAAAGGATAAAGGGAAAAAGGGAAGGGTCTATGCATTTGAAATTTGCCAAAAAGAATTTCTGATACACCCTAATGTTAATAAATATGTACATACATACAAAAGTACAAAAGTGGCATTAAAAATACATAAAGTTGCACTTGGTATTCACTCTGTGGTTGCGGCTGCGGCTGCGGCTGCGGCCGTCTCTGATTCATTCAATTATTTTCTTCGATTTTTGTCAATTCTCTGTTTTGCTTTGAATATTCTAGTCATTCTTCAAGGCTTTTTAATGTATTTATTAAGAATGTGGCTTGACGGCATTATTTCTCAAATGTGTCGCTTTTTCGCCCTTCTAACTCTGCACCCAACCACATAAATATGTAGCTTAGCCTAGAGAGACGTCTGGCTAAATATTCAAATCGCGTGCAGAGATAAGTTCATTATTTGTAGGCATGGGTGTGGTGGTGGAACATCTTATATGTATGTATGTAGTCGCTGCCTTTTAATAATTTTCATGCGCCTTATGAAGCTTTCACACTTTCGATTGCTTATCTTTGCATATCAGTTACTTCACATGCAAACATTTATTTTAATATTTTTGTTTGTCCCCTATTTTCCTTATTGAAGACATATGAGTACATATGTACATATGTATGCATGTAAATAAGTATGTACTTATCTATCAAATACGCCTCAATCATTTATTGTGCCCTCACTGGTAACTTATGATTGTGCATGCGGATAAATATTAAGTAATATGCGCCAGTTGCGCATACCCGTACGCAAATCACTTAAGTACACAGTAAAGTATGCGATAATCACACAGCCCCCAACGCTTTCACTATTTACATACGTACCTACGTATATACAAAAAAAAAAAAAGGTGTATTAATCCATTGCATTTTAATCGCTCGCACGATTTGAACTCTTCTCATGGGAACTTGGGCGCTGAGCTATGCGCCGCATTCTCATTCCAACCGTTACTGCTGCTTGGCGCGCAACTAACTTCTTCAATACTCGTACAAGTATTCCTTTGTAAAAGTCAATGTAGTACTCGTATCATCGAAAAGTATCTGTGCAACATGTTATCCATAATAATAACAACCTCATCAAGCATCGCAACAACCCACCAGCGCCGATTGCCATCGACAAAGCATTTTGCTATTTCAACCGTTTCGCTGTTGTTCTGCTTCCTGTTGGCTGCCAACCTCCCATCTCCGCTGGGGGCTGCAGCACGCCATCCACTGCATGCGCTACGTTCTCGCCATTGGCGCCCATCATCACCGCCTTGCACCGACTATGAAATGCTGATCATCAATACCGAATATTGCGTCTCGCGCTGTCCCATCCGTTGCAACAATGGTAGCTGCTTTGAGGATGGCATCTGCCCCTGCGCCGACTCCTATCAAACCTCGTTCGAGAAACAAACTCTGGTATGTGCTGCCGAATGTTTACCCGGCTGCATTAGTGCTGGTGGTTTTTGCGCCGCGCCTGATCTTTGTCTCTGCAGCCGTGAGGGGTACTATTTCGATGCGGTGGCGCGCCGTTGCCGCGAATACCACCTTTTCAGCGATCGTTGTTTTGGGTGAGTGAGCGCTGGGCGTGTAGGTTCTATGTAAATGGCAGCAGTAGTGTGGAATATTAATTCTTTCGTTTCACAGGCGTTGTTTGTACGGCAAATGTACGGCGAATGGAGAATGCATTTGCGCGCAAGGATATGTGGTTCAGCAGGCGACGTTTGGCCAGCTGTGTGCACCCGAGTGTAAACAGTGAGTATACAATATGTTCGTAGCGAATCTTTAGAAGTTCAATAACATGTTGGAAAGGAAATAAGGGGTAAAGCTTGGAGTTAATTCATTCGTGCTAAACCTCAATGACGAACAAGAAGACGAAGAAGCCAGACGGCTCCTAACAGCTGAGTGTGGTTTTTTGTTCGTCATCCAACAGGGTAAAATTTAGTGGTTTGTTTTGTCTTGAACAATATGCTAAAGCCCGCCAATAACATTCCCCTCTAGGTAAGCAGTGCTAAATATCCGAATACAATTCGGCCATGAAAAGAATGCTCGTAAAAACCATTGAGCTTTGGTGATGTTCTTAAAATTGGGGATTGCTCAATCATGAGCCAACTTAAACGCAAATACCACACCCGTATGCCCCATAAAGTATTCTCAACAGCTCTAAATGAAAAACTGTATACAGATATTTTACCCAGTTCTAGTATTCTAAACGGTGAAAACGTTCTTTTTGACAAAACGAAGAGTGTGCCACCAAATGAAAAAGACTTACATTGACTATAAGATGACGATGATTTGCGTAACGAAAATTCCAATTTTACAACTTTTATTTGCACACTTGAAATTCATTCTTAAATTCTTAAATACACACGAAGAAATTAATATATGGGGCGTTCCATTCCAAAATGGACGGGGTTTACACTTCATGCGTTGGATTTGTTTAAAATTTTTAGAGTTGATGGACAAATAATTATGAAATTTGAGCTTGATTAATATATTTTTAAAAACTATACAGCACAAAAACAAAAACAAATCGATTTAATAGTTTTCCAAATATCTCGAGAAGGGAGCGAGGAAAAAATTTGAAGAAAATCATACATACACACATTAAAATTCTCTATGAAAAGAAATATTTGTAAAATTTTTTTATCTTGAAAAATGTTTCACATTCAAAATGTTTGATAAAATACTAGTTTTTGAAAATATGCCGTCTCAAAAAAAAAAAATTAAAAATCACAATTGTAGCTAAGTATAATATTAAGGGTAGCACTCTACAATAGTTTGAGTTATGAATTTTTGTTCACACCGAAGTTGACTAAAATGAGTAGATTACAAATTTACATATTTTTTTTAATTTTTTTGAGTATGCAGTTTTGTAGCCCAATAAATTTTGGTATATTAAAGTGCAAGTTTTAAGCGATGTGATGTTTTAATTTTTTTTTTTTTGAGGTGGCATATTTTCCAAAATTACTTTTTTTTATCAAAAAATTTGTATGGGAAAAAATTTTCAGGAAAAAATTAAATTAAAAAAGAATTCTTGATGTGTGTATGTATGATTTTTTTCAAATTTTTTCCACGCCCCGTTCTCGAGATATTTGGAAAACTATTAAATCGATTTGTTTTTGTTTTTGTAATGTAAAGTTTCTAAAAATATATTAATCAAGCTCAAACTTCATATTTATTTATTATTTATGTTTATCCAACAACCCTAAAAATTTGAAACAAATCAAACGCATGAAGTGTGAACCCCGTCCATTTTGGGATGGAAGGCCCTATATACATATATTCGAGAAGGCTGTAGGAAAATATTTCGCGGCAATATTAAATTACTTTTAAATATTATGACATTTAAGTTGAGGCGTGCGAGTTAGCCTGTTAGCTGAGTGTGTATGGGCCCTGCAGTAAATCGCGCTAGTTCCAAACTAGCGCAGAACTAGCTCTTTAAGAGGCGGTACTGGTTCTCGATCTATCCCAACGCAATGCTTTCAACCGTCTCTTTTGACATGGCGATGTCTTACGAAGTGGAAATTGCCACCTCTGCAGAACTTTCAACCAAGTTTTGAGCTGGTTCTATTTTCGGCAGTTCTGGGACAAAAAGTTTTTTATGGAAAAAAATTTTAAAACTAGATAATTGGATATTTTTTTCTGAACTGTTTCCATTTTGGACAGATCTGCGACAGTAAGTTTTTTATGAAAAAAAAGATCTGCGACAATAAATTTTTATTAAACAAATTTTGATTATTCGATTTTTTGATATATTTTCTGTTCTTTTGCAGATTGCATTTTGTTTAATCTTTTTATTCTTTTATATTTACTTATATTAAATTTGATCATTTTCTCTTCAATTTTTAAGCAGCACTCAAAAATTTAAATGTACTCAATGTGAAAATCACAACTGCCTCCACCGCGATTTAAACTCGCGACCAACGATGTTAGAGTCGGAGGTCTTCCCGCTGAGCTATTTTAGTACTGTACAATAAATGAGAATTTGTGCATTTACCTTTCAACAGAGCGTAACTAGCACACCAAAAGTTTCAACTGTACCTCTCTGCAGCCGTTTTGCACTAGTGTTCAGAGACAGTTTTGAAATGTATAGGACAGAACTAGCACCTTAACCGACTGTCTCTAAATTTTACTGCAGGGCAGTAATCGATACAGCTATCTTCATAGGTAGCGATAATTTCTTCATACTTAACTCAATATTTGTATTTATAGATATCTGATTTGAGGCACCCAGTATTGAATCTTGAACCCTCAATAAAAATTTGCGATGGGCCAAACAATCGGCCCTATTATGGTTGTCGACGTCGATGTCATTTGCTCATTGGGTTTAGGATTCGATATTATTTCGTCTCACTTATGCGAGAAGAATGAACGTGCAAATTTATCAGTTTTGAGTTATTGGGTTGGTTTGACTAACCTTTGGATGTTCTATGTTATACCAAAACCCAGAATACCATGCGCACACGGAAACCACATATTTTACAATGTCAATTACATGAATGCAGAGTTAAGTCTCGCAAAAAAAAAACTTTTAAACTTGATTCCCCAAAATATTAATTTTTACACATTCATGTTTCTGGCCGCCCGCATGCCAATATATGTATTTTTTGTTATAAATGAGTCTTTATTTTTTAACAGAACCACACGTTTGATAACACATTTCACAAAAATTTATTTCATTGTACATATTTCTAATTTTCAGAGATTGTGGTAAATACGGCTTCTGTTATCTACCAAATATGTGCGCTTGTCGAAAGAAAGACTATCACTACGAATACGATGGCAAGTGTCATGAGGACTACATTCATCTGGAGCAATAATATCGCTTAGAATATTATTTGACTGAGTTTTAAAGCTAATTTATTAAGGTTTATTTATAAGTTGTCATAAATATAGCATATATATTTATTTTTTTAATATACACACCATGAATTGATTAAAAGATTAAGAAATTAATAAAGAACAGTCATCAAAACCGCATTAATATACTCATATCTGCGTACATACATATAGTAAATGCATGCCAATTTTTCTAAAAACATACATACATATGTAAATTACATAGCATATGTATGTACATATGAAGGCTCGTCGAGAAGGGGAAGGCCCTTCCCGGAAGGCAAAAAATTCAAAAGAATTCCCCCTTTAAAAAAATTAAGTTCAAATTATTTTAAAAGTTAAATCGACTATTACAATATGGTTATCAAACGAAATGGTTTTGAAAAGGCTTTATTTCTTAACTAAATGAAAGAGGGTTCCCACATGTTTAAAAAGCCAAATTCAATTTTATTCAAGGGAATTAGGTAATTGAAAAACATATTTATCACCGTATGGATGCCAGACGAAAGATGTTTAAGAAGGTAGCGGTTTCAAAAAAAATTTGAAGAGGGTAACCAGTCACCTGTTTGAAAAGTTAAATTTACTTAAACTATACCCAAGTTATATGAAATATTAAAATAGGTTGAACATTTAGAATATTTGTGAGGTGATTGAAAAGGTTTGCCACCAGCTTAAATGTTTAAACTAAAATTATTTAATAAGTTTGAGGAAGACGTCTGAGACGCCCATTTTCTCTCCACACATTCGCAAATATTAAACAAAAATTAATACAGATTCAATCTAAGAGGCTTCACTGTATTCCAAACACTTTCATTCAGTCATTTAGTCAATATTTATGAGCACTCATTTCACTCTCATTCGTAAACATTGGTTCTCACTACGCATTGAGACCATTTGTGCTCACAGATGATGAGTTGTAGATAAAACCACTGCCGTAAATAAATAGTCACACGAGCAAACGTTGCTGGCAACAACAACAAATTCAATGTTAAATTGTAATTAAATTTATAATTTAGAAGCTTGTTTGCATTATGACATTCTATGGTATTCTGCCAAGTGACTTGCCGGCTTCTAATGCAAGTAAGCACATTGAGGAGAAAATAGTTCTTATCATCATCGGCGTGATGGCGTCTGAGACGCCCATTTTTTGAGTGATACTAGAGCATGATGACCCAACATTAAAATTGTATGCATGAATGTTTATGTATGTAGGTACATAGCATTTATTAGCAATGAAAAAATTGGCAGAACCATGACGAAATTCACTTAACATAAGACAAAGTGGACAGGTGAGCTTTAGAAAAAATCTACATTTAATCTAAAATAAATCGAATGTACATGCATGTGGGGCTGGATGCATGTATGTACCCTGCAGGGAAACCGCGGACTAGTGAATCAAATTTCTAGTTCCGTACTAGGTCTTTATCGCCAAAAAGGAACTAGTCCGATAGGAACTAGATCGCCACCAGTCCAAAATCGGCGAAAAGTGGTACTTTTAAAAAACTAATTTTTTTCAGTTTTTTCACTAGAAATCTATATCTAAAGTGACGAATTTAGAAATGGTTCGGAACTATAGAAAAAGTGATGCAGAACGAACTAGATCTTATTTGTCGAATTTAGAAATAGTTCGGAACTATCGAATAAGGGATGCAGCGGGGGGCTTGTTTACTTTACATAAATGTGTGTTCGGCGGCTTTTTCTTTCAAATACGCTTCTATTCTGCACTTCGCAGAAGCTTTTTCGTAGCTTGGTAATGCAAAACCAAAATTGGTGCTAAAATTTCAACATCTTGGGGCTGTCTGGAATCTAGCGAGCACCTCCGCAAACTCGACTACAGCTAAAGGTATGTAAACGTACATTTCTTACAATTTAATTTCAAATTGAAAAAACATTTCTTCCAAAATAACTTAAAATCGTACACACGGAAGAACCAAAAATATTGAAAAATGATAATACTTTTTTCTTTCGTCTGTCGATTTTAGAACTGGTTCGGAGCTATAGAATTTAGGACTAGTTCGGAACTATCGAAAAAGGGATGCAGCGGGGGGCAATTGATACTTCCTAGGGCATCGCCATGTTGAATTCGCCAGTTGCTTGCATGCAAAAGAAATTTATCGCGAACCAGTACTGGGTCTAAATGTACTAGAAACGCACCAGTTTAGAACTAGAGATTTTCCCCACAGGGTACATACAAACATGCATACATACATACATATGTGTGTATGTGAGATATTATTGTGGTCCCAAACAAAATGGAGAAACCTACCAAAACCAAACGAAGATTGAAGGAAACGCATGAAAAATTAAAAACACATGTTTTTATATGCAACCAGAGTTGCGCCGTAAAACAATATAATTATGCGAAAACTGGTATTTTCGAAAACTCAACTACAAAATACATACATATGTATTTATGGTCCAAGTAGAGCACAAAACACTAAATGAAAACGTGGAACACGAATTACTCCAGAAGATTTTTTTCCAATTTGGTCTACGTGACGAATTCTCGACGCTTGGCGAGACAATAACAGCTATACATGTGTACATTAGGTCGACTTTCCCACCATATAAAAAAAAAATTGTGTAAATTTTATACAAACTATTTCTGCTGAGCTAAAAAGTTGATGGCGGAATTAACTTTTTTTAATATGGTTATTGAATTTTTTATGAAAACTTCATTGAAGTGGTCGAAATTTGCTTACAAAGACTAGTTTTTTTTTATAATGTTGATATGTTATCTATAAAGTTTTTCTGAGGTCTCAAATTTTTATTCCTCTATCGTCAACGTTATGTGTTTACAGCAAAAGGGAGTTCCACCTAAAAATTGTATGTCCAAAAACTCCATATTTATACTAATTAGTAGATATGTATGTAGGTGTGAGCTACCAAAAAGAAAACATTTTGTCTTTCGCTTATTGTCTGATTATGGCAACTTAACATAACAGACAGGCTCTCACTTAACCATTCCCTTAAATGGATGTTGCTGATAATTGTATAGACGAAACTTAACGTAACTTAATGCCACGTCGAATCTGTTTCATTTTGATTTTCTAAGTTCTACGTTCCGTTAAGTTAAGTTACGTTGCCGTAATCAGGCCTTTAGGCCGTGATTATGCTACCAATTTCGATTGGCAATCGCCGTGCAGTTGTGGTTGTGCCGTGCTGAGAATTTTCGAACTCGAATAGCCAGCATGATTTGCTAAAATAAATATTATATAAAATATAATAAAAAGTAAAAATTAAAAAATAAAAAGTCTTAAGTCGTTCTTCTATTTTTCGTTTTTCGACTTAAATTTGTATGCGCTTCTAGTTACACTTTTACATTAGTGCTACCATGGTGTGCGAAATCGAATGAATTGGAAAAAGTTATTTCTCAAAAAATAACCCTGTGTTCGCCAATCAGCAAACAGATTTGACACCAATTAGCGAAATTTTTCTCTTTTGATTGGCAATCAAAATTGGTGGCATAACCACAGCCTTAGCGAAAAGCAATAAATTTTTCTAGTGTGGCACCCTAATGAGCGTGTGTACATATCATCGGTGATACTGCAAAACGTACTATGTCACTTATAACCTCTGGTGATTTGTTGATATGTTATCTGGATCTGATCGCTTCTGGTAATAGTTCATCTTCATCAGGCAAAGGCCGACAGTTTTGTCATTCGTATATTAGGGTGTAACAATTTGCAGATACATTCCGGTGTAAGTAAGAGACCATCTAAGTGTCAAGAGTACTAATAGACATAGACTGTTTTGCAGTATCACCGACGATGTGTAGTATGTATGTAGGTAGGTATATGTTCGAAAGCTTTATAACAATGGTATTAGCATAATCGTACAAGATTACTTGCTGTGGCTCAACATTTGCTGAAACAACTGAAAGTAAAATACTCGTACATATATTGCAAAAAAACGCCGGTTTTTTATTCGATAAATAGTGTAATTAAATGTGGGCAATGGTCGACTGTCAAAGGCGCTACACCGTCAGGGTTCAGATCAGTGTCATCAGGATCAGATCTGAGCCATCAATTTTCGCGAAGAATCCGAGTCTGTAGATCGGAAAATTGAGCCAACATGTGACATTTTTAAAAGTACTTGAATAAGAAAACAACAGGCGCTTTAATTTTCATAAGCTGAAAGATCATTTGAAGCCTGAAAAGCCGCCCACGAATGGTGCTGCTGCAATCTAACTCTAGACTTAAGACAATATTTTAAAAAAGTCCAAAGAATACCAGTGATTTTTTCCCCAATTCAAACAAAAAAAACTATACTACTTGCTTAAAAACTAATATTTTTTATAAAAAGTGCTACTATTAGATACAGCTAAACGATAACACTCATTCAGATTGATAACATTTAAAATCTTTTCTAATTATAGTTTAAATGGATTTTCTTACAAAAATGATATTCTAGTATAAAAATCCTCCTAATTCTTAACTATCATCGGTGATATTAATGCTAAACTGTATAACGCTTGACAGAAGAATTTATTATTAAATTGTAAAGTCAGAATTACCAGCAGTGATAACAGGTAAGTCACAGATGGTTTTTAATATCACAATGTAGTTTTTGTGAAAATTGCAGATCGAGGGTATTGAATAAAAGCCCTCGATATGTAAAATGGTTAGGGATTTTTACGGCACATGATTTCTAAAAGCACCTTCTTCGCGAAACATATTCACTCGAAGGTTTGCCATTGTCTTCTGAAGGCACTCGTAAATAGATGTCTCTGCTAAGCTTAGACAGGAAAGGCTACCTATTTTTGCTGAGTTTACAATATCAATTTTTTTCATTCAATGAGCCCCTTTTTACTTCATATGTATGTATTTACTTTTCATGCCGATTTTCTAACTTTAAAGTCCCACAAAATATGTAACATCAAAACTGGTATTTGCTTCAGTAACCTAAACAGTCTCGGAGCAAAAGCACGTTATTACTAGGCTGGATACCACACATGAGGGACATGATGATAATCGACAGGCTGATCGCCTTATCTTTTGTGTGTTAACCTAAGCACACACGAGGAAGCTCATAAACAACTGGTTAGACAAAAAGCTTTAAAGCACTAGATTAATTGTACAAGGCAGAGACCAGTTATGTGGTTTATCTGTCCGTTAAAAGTGGTTTATTAATCTAAGCTGAGAGGACTTTCGAACTCCCACTGGGTATTATATGGGGAACTATTTTCCACCTCGAATCTGTCTCTGTCGATCAACTAGGAAGCGTCCACTTGAATTTTGGAATGAAAAGCCCATGAAGCATTAGGCTACATCAAAAACTTTCAGATATAGGCTAATTGCCAAGCAGAATAGAGCACTTCAGATGTCGCGGTGTACTATGGCCTTAAAATAATAACAATTTAAAGGAGAATACCGGATATTGAGAAAATGTCATATTATGGAAATATTCCATCTCTATTCGAAGGCTGATCAGATAATAGGACTACAAAACTCAACTCGAATTTGGGCAAACAGTGTTGATAACTCTGTCGACTGAAGGAACACCAATAAAACTGTTTTTAAAACTTGATCTATATATTTTGGGCCTATTTAAAAAATACGTTTCATAAGTTCTCAGATAAACAAACGCGAAAATATTTACCAAAAGTAAGAAGTGGCAAAATAATGTGCTAAAATATGTACATATGTATGTAAATATCAATTGCTATGGCTCAGGCGAATTCCTACGAGCCGAAAGAGGAAGGTCTAGTTAACCCTTGTAGGTTAGGTAAATCAAGCATCTGTTATAACTTAGGTTAGAAAGCCGATCAGCTCTTTTCATATTTTGAAATCACAATCAGGATTCATTAGGATCCGCTTTACGAGACTCATTTTGAAAAATGTTAAAAATATAAATATGTTCATAGTGGATGCATATTTATCTGTTGTGACTTACTCCAAACTCCGATTTGCCGACTGTAGCGCCCATATAGGAGAGACTTCACAGACAGGGCTGCCAACTATACTTAGCTATGAAGTGCCATATTGAGGATAAAAAAGTGCCAAAATGTGCCAACTGGAAAAATAAAAGTTCCAAAAAAGGTGTCATTCTTGTTAACTTTTCCCATTTAGCATTTAACTTAGAAACGCATTCCTAAAACAAAACTCTTAATGCCAAGCTAACATAAACCAATTGTATACACTATTGAAATTAGAAAATTTCAGTTGAGAAAAAATGTACACGCAAAGGATTTCAAAAAAAATTTATTGAAATATTACTCTTTTTCAAAAAGGCCATTTTGGTGCTTTGTGCCAATTTGAAAAATTAACTTTACTTCAGTAAAATAGTGCCAAAAGTGGCACGGTTTAAGTGAAGTTGGCAACCCTGTTCACAGATACTTTGTATTAGCCGGTTCGCTCTGTTATCAAAACTTTGTTGTTATTATTGTAACTTCCCTCTTTTGATTGCTGCTATTGTTGTTGCTGTGTTGGTTTGCTGTTTTGTTATTATAGTTTTTATTTTTTATAATTTTTTAATTTGTTGTGGCTATTTTTGTTGTTGCTCACGAACGTTTTTTTTAACACGCTGGCGGGCGGGGGCTTGTTCTTGCCGCTGTTGGTTTTATAAATTTAAGAAATATTTACACACATCCATAAGTATCTAAGTATACTTAGGTAGGTGCTTTTGTAGGTACCTTTGCTTAGGTACATATGTATGTATGTATAAACATATACATACGTATATATGCATGTATAAATGTCTGTGCTAAGTTGTTGCGTTTCTCCACCACCTTCCATTTATTTTCGACGACGACAACCACTGTGGACGATGATTGCCAACCAGCAACGACTCCTGCAGCCACTACGCGCGGTTCTGAAATTCAGTTGAAGTTTTGCTCTCCAACCATACACATCGTCTGTTAATTAATATCTCCAGTGGAGCTGAATAAAAGATTTATTTCAAAAAATATATATTGTGGAAAAGGCAGCGCTGTACTTAAGGGTTAAGAGCCAAACACTTCGCCGCAGTATTATTAAGCAGTTTTTTTGCTGAATTTATAATTTTATTTTGCGTGTGACAGCAACAACAATGACCAACATCAGGGTAAGCGAACTAAGTGCATTGAATTAAAAAAAACTTGAATAAATACGCGGCGCATATGTATGTATGTACATAGAAAGCTACGGAAATTTTTAGATTTTTTTGCAATATATATATTAATTTAAATTTGGTTGTAGGTTGTAACAAGAATTACATCTAAGTATATCTACTTAAAAATAAGTGCGGTTAAGACAAATCTGTGTAGCCCAGTGATTTTTTTTATATATTTTTTTGTTGGTATCACACTTTTCGTGATGACGTCGAGACGTGCCTCCTGTATTTTAAACACACACACACACACACACAAGCGGGTAATGCAAAGTGGAGCATGATGGGCACTAGTCAACATTTTCTCTACACTCTCAGCGTGTCTGACAAAAGTAAATGTAGGGATTTTACATTCCGCATATGTATGCATGTATTTACATATATACTTTATCATTGCAATGCATATATGTACATATATATATGAGTGCTTTGCTTTTCCGGACAGACACAAAAACCGCATGGAGCTGTGTAAGGTGTTATATAATCGGCTAATAAAGAAGACTGCTGCAAGTGATAAAAAATAAGAGTTGAAAGCTGACAGAATTGTTGAAAAACGTGTATTTTGTGCTTTCGAGATTTCTGTTTTATTCACTCACTTAACATTTTTTTTTTTTATTCGTAGCAATGCAGAAAATGTGCAGTTGTTTTTGCCATACAGCGAAAGATGATATGCAGCTGCCCTTTATAATGGACTGGAATATTCGTTTATTGCTTTTAATATCATGAAATTGTTACTCATTCAAGTTGAAATTTGCAAATTTTTAATTAGACTTCTTAGTTTTCTCTTTATAGATTTCTTGAAACGTTGCTACCCCTTTTAGGCGTATATACATACATACATACATACATATACTATGTATGTATATGTGACCAATTTCATGCAGCACGCACCTAATTCGCTTCATTGAAAATTATTAAATGGCATAAAATTGTTGCAATTAACTTGACTGATGTTGCAAAATGTCGTCTACATGCAAGTGCATAGCACGTAGTATGCTTGTATGAATTGGGGTAGTCACGATTCCTGAATTGGCGCTCAAGTCAAAATATATAGTATAGTATATTTTTGACATAAAATGCATGTTTTATTTGCGTTAAAAATTAATTTAAAAGCAATATTAACAAAAATGTAACGATGGAGATTTATGTCATGTGACGTAACGTCACGTGTGTGCTATACAAAGATCTAAACAAAGGAAAAGAAAACAAATGTTTTTCCTTGTTTGTATCTCATTGAAACGTACGACTGTCACGTATATAACGTATGGAAACACCCATATATAGCAACAAAATTAGACAATCATGCTATTTATGCTATCCATGCACCATGCTAGACAGTATGTACCGGATCGTGAATATCCCTAGTGTGTATTTGTATATATGTTCGAACACTTAAGCACAGGCTGTTCTTATCACTGCGTGTCTGTGTAATTGCAACGATTGCCTGACTCGTAAGTATCTACTCGTACGCAGTCTGTCGCATAACAGAATATTTAATGGCTATGTAATTCTAGAACATTATTTAAAATTACTTTTTTCCTTAATGGGAGAATGTGAAATTATGTGAATAATTTTTCATTAGACTCTGCAGCAAAATTTTAAAAAAATTCAAAGCCTTTTCTATCTGCTCATTCAAAAATTAAAAAAAAAAAAAAAAAATTTAAAGTAGTAGAATCCTGCCAACAAGTGCTACTTTGGACTGAGTAAGCAGTTCAGGAGTAAAGTCATCTCTCGACGTACGAAAACCACACTCTATAAGTCACTCATCATGCCCGTGCTGGTATATAGCGCAGAAGCACGGACAATGACAACATCCGATGAGGCGCAAGATTTACGGACGTTGGCGAAGACGAGTACCGCAGACGATGCAACGATGAGCTGTATGAGCTTTACAACGACACGGACATAGTGCAGCGAATTAAAATGCAGCGGCTCCGCTGGCTTGGTCATGTCGTTCGAATAGACACCGACGCTCCAGCTCTGAAAGTATTCAACTCGGAACCCGCTGGTGGTAGCAGAAGAAGAAGAAGGCCCCCACTGAGATGGAAAGACCAGGTGGAGATGGACTTGGCTTCACTTGGCATTTCCAATTGACTTTGCTTTGTTGAACTCGGCCAAAATCGCTTAGGAAGAGAAGAAGAAGAAGTGTCATAATCTAAAAAAATACAAATATTGAGTTAAGTACGTTCCACCGTCACCTCTTCTTCTATGTTGTGTAAAAATTTCATAACTGTATCGATTACCAGTATCTCACTAGAACAAAATATGAATTAATTTTTACTATGGAAGTATATCGACACCTGAGTGGAAGATCGACCTATCTCGGCAGCCAGTTCGAAACGCCCTATCTCAGAAAACTTTTCAAGAACGCCCTATTTCAGAATTGTATTGAAAAAACCTCTATCTCAGAATTTGGTTCGAAAACGCCCTATCCCAAATGAAAATATATTGAAAATGTGCTGAGATAGGGCGTTTTTGAACTGAATTCTGAGATAGGGCATTCTTCAATCAGATTCTGAATTCGGCCAGTTTCTCAATGTCTGGTTAACACTAACTACAGGTTAAACATCGTTATCGACTCCTTGTTATACGTTATGGAGTCGATCACATCGATAACGAAGTTTAACTTGTGGTTAGTGTTATTCAGGCATTGAGAAACTGGCCATAAATGAAGAAGTTTAAAGGCAGGCATCAGGGCAGTTCTTTTGCAATACCAGCGGTAGATCAAAGGCTTGATTTCTGCACCGTATATGGGCAATTGCATTCGCTTATATAACGTGAGTTTTTCAGATCCTTCTGCCTTTGACTTAACAGTTGATTTCAATTCCAAACTTATCCAGGCCTCTTACTGTGTATCGCCTTATCCCAAGAGGTTATCGAAACTGGGATTTTCACTAGTCACTTCTGCCAAAACAAACTACCTTGGTCATGGAGCCAGAAAGTCCGCATCTTCCCAAACTTGATATCTCCCTAAGAATACCTAAACTAAATATGCATACATATGTATAAATATAAAAAATATCTGTTTGTTGTACATATATGTATGTATCTATATTATCTTTATTCATTTTCTTTTTACTGCTGAAAGTTGCTAACGGCTGAATCACTTTCCAGAAAAATGTCTTGGGAACATTATAACAGCATGCCATGCCCTTAAAATCCACGCTATGGGCGAATTTTTGTTCAAAAGGAACTGACAGCGTACGTTAAATTAGCAGCAATGCATTATTTCTTAATTTTCTGTGAAAGTTTCTTAGCATTGCTAAAATATCCCATTGACATGCTGTCCAACGACAAGCCTGCCTTAAAACTGATGAATACACAGACAGCATACCTGCCTGTATAGCGGAGTTATTACCATTTATAGCGTGGAATGCATTACCTGTAAGTGCCATTTAGTACACATGCGCACATCAAAATGCATTCGTTTCTGCATATGTACATATATACATAGGTATATACACTAGGCGACAAATGAAAGTGTACACCTTGTGCTAACATAATATTCACAATTATTTTGATGAAAAATTTGTTGTATTATAATTATTTATGAAAATATAGTTCATTCTATAGTATAAACCATATAGATCAAAGTTTCACAAAAATTCAAAAAAAATTTCATCAAAGTTTTAAAATTCGTATTCTGAATTTCTAAGAGATTGTCGAGTATGCAGTTTTGTAGCCCATTCGATTTTAGTCGGATGATGTGCATGTTTAAACGGACTGCTTCCCTTTTTTGTTACAAGCGTGGGGTGTGCAAGTTTGACGACAACTTCAATTTTTACTTAATACTTGTTTATTTATAAATATACTTTTAAATTTATGAACAACCCTAATTGTACTTCATGCATTTCGTTTACGACTGCAACATTGCAGCTTTGTCGGCTTCATTAAGCTTTTGAGAAACACATCCGATCCATTGAAGACAATGCAAAAATGTTGTTACAAGATAACTGGTTTTCTTGTCACTGATTTTTTATGTTTTTTGTTGCTGGACATCTATGTATGTACAAATACATGCACATATGTAGCACATAAATGCATGGAAATATAGTTACACATACTCGCTTGCCAAAGGATTGGAGGCGCGTCACTTAATACTACTTAAGTAAGCATGCGAAGGCGAAACGAAGGCCCAATTAAAAAAAAAAAAAAAAAAATCAAAACAAGGTAAATACGTTTAAAAATTCATTTGTATGTGCATTATTAAATAATGTGCAAACAGTGGCGGAAGTATAAATACCTTTGATTTTTGGCTTTTTTTTTAAGGTGTTGCTAATTTTCTCCATATAAGAAAAATGCATCACGCCGTCAACAAAAAGAATTGACAAAAATCAACGATAGTTTGTTGCTATGTACTTCAAACTTGCACTTAATTAGTCTACAAAACATTTTTTCTAAAAATTCTGATTAAGAAGTTTGAACATTTTATGCAATTTTGTTGACGTTTGTCGAATTTTCCTACTTTTATACTAAGTTTGAAATTCGTACTTAAATGTGTTTTCTTAGATAACGAGCTATACTTTCATAAAAAAATAATAATAATTAAATAAGCAAAAGAAAAATTGGAAAAACTTGTTAAAATGTCGTGTCCCTATTTATATTTTCGCCACCGTACGTGTGAGAGTACATACCCTGTCGGAAATTTCGGAGTCGACTACAAAAATAGCTACATTTTGGCCCATTTATAATGACTATTTTTAACTGCTTCAACCATAAAACTGTGTGTAAATTTTTTTTCACAAAAATTACTAAATTTTCATTATGTGTCATTGTGTTTCTTTCTGTTCTTTAGTTGCATGCTCCTACAATCTGATGGAAGCATAAAAATCGACATTACCAAAAGCATTATATTAATGACAACACTTCAAGTCTATTTACAAAAATAACCAGTTTGTAGTTTTCTGAAAACAAAAATAGTGAACCTAAGTACATATAGCGTATTTATAGTTAGTTGAGTTTTCGCTAGAGGGCACATACATAAATATGTATATGTGTAAGTATTTCATTTTCCTAAGGTCTAATAACTGTAAGTATTTTTTTATAGAGCTCCACTTGACACTCGAATAACGAAGTAGTCTGCGCAGAAATCTAAAGCTCGTAGAATTATTTTCTATGGCGCGTGTGTAATCGATATATTCATAAGAGGGTGATTAGATAAAGGTCCAGCCATGACCATAAAACTAACGAAAAAAGTATACAGACCTTAAAATCGATAAGTTTATTTAAAGTCTTCAGAAGTAACTGAATAATTATTAAACGCTAAATGCTTAAGACACCTTACACTTCCCAAATAACTCCTAAACGGCCCCGGGTAGGCGAATTCTTTATTATAAAGCGTTTTGACTTTAGCTGCTTTAAAATTAAAAAAAAATCTTTGCCTGACCTGTGTTCTGAACCTCATCGTCAACACTAAAGAGCCGAAATTCTGACACTCCGGCCACACCAATTCGGTAAAAAAAAAAACGTATACACTTTGTTTTTAAGGTAATATTCTTATTTCTGAACGTTTTTTATTCGAATATGGATCAAAAATGGATTAAATTTACTTAAGAACTACAATAGAACACTTTTTCCACTTCATTTTATTTAATAAAAACAAGAAAACGAAACGAAGCAATCCAGTGCAATACATGTAACATGCATTTTTTTTTTTTTTGAATATATGGTTGTATTAAATTAAAAAAGCGGTTAACACAGTTCTACTTTATTCAAACAAAATACAACTAAATAGATGTTTTCCTGTGATCAAATCAAAACAAATCCAAAGTTATGCGATAACATACATCAAAAAAAAAACAATAAAAAATAAAAAAAATTTCCGACGAATTTATAACCTTCATCCTTTTTGTGAAGTCGGTTAAAAATGCAAACCACCTTCAAAAAAAAAAATCCTCAAAAATCAATGCCATTTTTGACTAACTCTGAGCTTCCATTTTTTATACTAGAATATAATTGGCTACAAAATTGCATCCTCAAGAAAATTCGAAAAAATTTAATTAACAATTTGAAAATTTGCATTAAAATTTATTGAATTTTCGCGAGTATTGCACAAAGTTTAGAAATTATGTTTTTGTGTTTTTTGTTGTAGAATGAATCATATTTTTATAAAAAAAATTGCGGAAAAATATTGGAATGGAAACCTGTGCAAAATACGCTGTGCCAATACTTTTTTCCGTCAGTGTACATATTTCTGCATAGTCATTTAAAAATGGATTAGCGTTTCTTTTGAAGACCTTATATTATTTTTATTTGACAAATAATTTACTTGTCATTCACAAAGAGCAGTTACATAGATATATATGTATATGCAAGGCAATTATTGATAAGATGCATTACATTCATTATCTTCTAAAAATGTGCGGCTCGTCATAATTAGCCGCAATTTTGATTACCCGCTTACTTGAATATACCTAAATAAGTACATTCATACTATTTATATACAATGCATGACACTTGACTTTCCATTAAACTCATTGAATTTCGAAATTTTTTTTTTAACTTAGAGCATTAATATTTCATATAAGTATACATGCATATGTACAAATATATGTACTTAGACGTGTATATACATACATATGTGTATATAATTAATCTTTTGCAATACGCGCCGGTCATTGCATTTTATTCAATTTAATTTGAATTTTTTATATTTAGAATGAATAAGCTATTAGACTTAACTATAGAATAGCTTAGACATTTCACAAACAAATACTAAATAAATTTAAATTTGCTAACATACACGCAAATGTATGTATGTGCGTACTTATTTACTTTCCGCTTGTGAACAAACAGCGTCTGGTTAGAATTTTCACGCCAAATGCAATTAGAGATAGTGAAGTGAAAATCAGTATGACAACATTTTATATTTAACTTTAGTTTGACAAGCACACGCCATTTGCATAGGGGCCAATCAGTCAAACCAGCTACTAGGTATATTCAAATTGCACACATTGCGACTATTTTCGAAATATTGCAAAGTGGATGCACTCGTCATTGATTGCATATTCACTAACTACCGTAATGGTGGCGGTGGTCATTTGAGAATTACAACTGCTCGGTATCATCCATCCCTAGAGGCTTATAGGATTATTGGACTTAGAGTAACTGGTCAACTTTCATGGACGGATGGTATTGAAAATGGGCAAAATTTTACAATAACCACGCTTACCACCCATACATATAACTACTGAAGCTTATTCACTTAAAATTGATATTTACCATGATTTTTAAAGGAAAAATAAGGATATTATAAATTTTTTAAAAATGGACGTAGCCGCTTCACCAATTTCTCCCAAACTTGGCACAGTCGCTGACCTTGGTACAACATACCAAACGGCTGAAAATTTTTAAAATTAATAACCACGCCCACTTCATAGATAACGGTAGTTTAGATAAATACGAAATCTTCGATAAATCACATAAAAGCAAAAGTTCAATAAGCGACTGTGAACAGTTGTGAACAGTTTTTCGTCGTTCACTCTTCTAAAACACTTTGTTTGTAGAAGGATGAGCGACGAGAAAGAATTCACACTCGCTTATTTAACGAGAAATCGACATTGAAAATACCATGCATAATTGATAATCGAATAGAAGTCGTTTATCTACTACTAGTCGACACTCGCAATAGGCGTGTAAGATTAAAACTTAAATTAAGATTAGGATTAAGATTCAGAATAAGGTCAATAATAAGATTTAAATTGAGATGAACACTAGGCTTAAGCTTGAAATTGAAATTTCAATTAATATTAAGATTCAGATTAAGATCGAGATTAAGTTTAAGAGTAGGCTTAAGATTAATATTAAGAAGATGAAGACTAAGATTAGGATTAAGATTTAAATTAAGATAAAGAAGAAGATTAAGATTAAGCTTACGCTTGGTCTTATCTATAGCGTCATATTTATATAGTGTCGTTGTTGGCCACTTAAGTGTATTTTTAAGAATTTTTAATTAAAATAAAGTCCATTCTCTAACAAAATCAATATAAACCTAAGTTTTAAACTTTGTAAAATAACTACAAAAAAATGCAAAAAAATTTCACCCAAATTTCAGACTTTTTTTTCAGAAGTGTTAACATCATTTTTAAGTATGTACACAGCTTTATAGCCCATTCAATATTAGTCTGATAACGTGCAAGTCTCAAGTGGCTAAAAATTTTTAAGAAGTTTTTTTTGTCGCATTGGCTTTTATAAAAGGAATAAAATCTATCTCTATATATGAACATGCACAGTTCAGCCAGATATGACCATTTGTTCCCATTTATCTGTATAAATATAACTTGAAATATATATCTTTAAACATTGATAAACATTGTGAAGTCCCGATTGAATGGAGGTAAACAACTAAAGTCTTTTTTTTTTGTACAGAAAAAACACAAAATTTAAGCGATTTTAGTTGCTATACTTATGTACATATATGTACACTAAAAAATTTGCCATCATTACTTATGTATATACATATATGTATTTTTATTAACATACAAATTGTTATTCTCCTTCTTTAGAAAGCAGCCTCTTCTCTACAAAAACTCTTCGTTTGCGGCGCCTTGAAATATGGCCAACCTAGTCATTCCATACTCGCCAATTCCGGCAATGGTTATGCGAAATTCTGGTGTCGCGCCACAACCACGGAGAAACTGCCGCTCGTGATAGCCACACGCTACAATATTCCATTCTTGTTGAACAAGCCCGGTGTTGGTAATTATGTTTTGGGTGAAATTTACGAAGTTGATGATAAGATGCTGAGATCATTGGATAACCTGGAGGATTGTCAGGATGTATTCACACGGGATATGCAGGATATGAATATCGGCGTGGGTGAGGGGTAAGTCGTATGAGTTTAAAAAAAAAGAACTTATAATTTTTAACTTTCTTTTGTTTAAATTATTATTTGCAGCACGGTTCCCTGTTGGGTGTATTTGCTGCAAAAGTATCCTGAAAAGCTGCTATCTCTGCCATATCTCTCCAGCTATGAGAATAGCGCTACTCATCCGTATGTAATGCGCAATCGTCGCACGCACAAGCATCCACCCCAAGAGGATCTCGCCTACACTGCGGCTTAAACACTGTGCCAGGCACATTAAACAACTGTATTTACATACATACATACATACATACATAAGTATATGCTTAAATACGTAGTCTGTTTTTTAGATATTTGGCTAATTGTGTGATTAGCACTTAGTTGCGCTGTGTATGCAGTTTGATAGCATGGAATGTTCTAGCAGTTGCCCAATTTTTTCTTGACCAATGGAGGATATATGTCGAGGCATATGTAGTAACTTATGAAAATTCCAATGTCGATATTAGCTGCACTTTTGTAGTTTTTAAATGTAGCCGTATAAAATTTATATACATAAATATTTTACATACATATAGAAACTTACGAAAACTTAACGTCTGGTCTTCATAACAATGCCTAAATTCTTTTAAAAATGGAGTGTATTGTTAAAAAAAAAAATAAGTGTATTCTGAAACCGTAATTTTAAGTTATATTGCGAATAAAATATTTGATAAAAAATATATGTATTAAAAAAATAACACACAAATGCTGTATGTGTTATATTTATTTATATTAAGGCGATTCCCTTGAACCGAAAAAAAAAACAAGAATACTCTGAATGCTAAAGTATTTTTCATACAACTTTTGTCTGCTTAAACAAAAGTTCGAGGTTTTCGATCCCTTTTCCAGTTTGAGAGAATGCTCTCATTTTTTATTTAAAGAAAATACGCTTAAGCCTTGTGCTCACCAGTGTTCTACCTGGGCCTGAACGACAAAACTTTTAGTTGCAGTATTGCCAACCTCCGAAACTTGCAAATTCATCCTAAAAGATGGAAGCAGCTGCAGAATGGTGAGAGTCACTGCTGGGACACGAGGCCGTCTCGGAGAGGGCTCTTTCCTGGTGGTATGCATTGACGAAGGCTCGTTGCAAGTTCTTCGAACTAAATGCGGGGATCGCCCTCGGGTCCTCGGATAAGGAATGAGAACAGGTAAGAAGTAATTAGTGGTTTTATATCTTCTAGGTATGTACGACAAAATTTTGTATTGCCCTATTATGCATTAGGCATTTGAAACTGCAAGTAATCCTAATTCAGGTACCACGGGTATGCCGCTAGCGTATCTGTGGACTTGGGTGGATTTCCTGGGGTAACGTTCTTCAATTGGGAGGGACAGAAAGAGCGCGCGCAAGCATTGTAGTGCCGCGTTCGGTCGAATGTACAATGTTTAGAGAGTTCTGCTCCCAAGATGTCGTTGCGATACGAATTGGGTACTGTACGGACGGGCAATGCCACAAGGACATCGCAATCTTCGCCATACAGTTCTATAGGGGGCCTCCTTCGAGAGAGATTATGGACATTGTTCAGTACGCCGAGTCAAATGGTATCGGCATAATAGTGGGTTGTGACGCGAACTCACAAAACACTATGTGGGGTAGCAGAAAGTGCAACTTCCGTGGGAACTGCATTCTGTCTTCCGAATTGGTAAGAAACCAACTTTAGTCACCAGCAGAAGGTAAGAAGTGATAGAGCTAACCTTAACCAATGAAGTTGTGGCGGATCATATCAAAAAATGGATGTCCTTAGAAGAGCAATCTCAAATTGAGAAATTTCAGAAAGCAATTGCAAGAGCAGTCACACCTTGCATGTAAAGCATCTTTCGAAAGACGTTTTTTTTTTTATATTCGAAAGGCGAATTGCAGATTTCTAGCGCAGCACGAGCAAGTTGAAATATATTTCCGAAATAGATTTGCGCTCTCTCAATTGCAGTCACATCTTGCAACTTTGATTTCTGAAACTGATTTCCGAAATGTGACAGAAAATCTTTCTGGCTGTTCACACATCGAAATAAAATATCTCTTTCTCAATTTGACAGCGAATTGCGTGGAAAAATTGGAACATTGTCACATCTGACATGCGCTATAGGTTCGTCGAATTTCGGCTAGGAGCTGGCACTTGTCAAGTACCAAAAGGTCGGAATCCTCGAAAGACGGACTCGCAGAAGTTTGGGTTGCTCCTTGAAATGAGAATACCAAATTTCCCCTAAACTCAAAAACATGAAATCAATTAAAGGACTGGTTCGAATATCATAACGTGCAGAAGGAATATAAGAGGCTAATTTGCATGTCATAGTTAAGCTCTTATAAAGATTTATGCAATGATATCACAACATGGGGATGTGGGCTGTGTAAGGTACTTCAAAAGGACCTGACGGTTAGGCTTGATCCCCTCAGAAAATGTGTGTCGCTGCAAGCCACATAAAAAACTCTCTTGGAAACACATTTTACGGGTAGCAGGATAAATCCTGACGCGGGCTGAGACGTGAAGAGCAACCAGACTAAACTGGTACGTAACATCGTGGGTGATGACTGACGAGTCAGTGATATAGTATGTTTCCAAAAATGCTAAAATGTGGGGGAGACAGGCTTATAGGGGCTCTAATAAGAGCTTTTAGGGCATGTCTGCCATTTGGCCACTTTCCCCCTCTTTGGAGAAAAGTCTGGGTAACCTTCATTCCCAAACCAGGCACTGTCGATAAGTTTTGGTGAATAACCCCCTTAGTATTCATCAACACGCTTACCAAAGTGGAGAGTCCAGTGAATCATCTCTACATGACCTTGTAACAAAGACCGAGGTGTGCTGGAAGTAAGGTAATACACAATGGTAGTCTTTGTTGATATTGGGAGGCGCTACTTTTGACTCTATAAGATTGCTGACCGTGGGAGATTAGCTGCTGTCAATCCCTAGTCGTGTTTATGCGCAAAACAAAATCGGAAGGTCCCAACCTTCCAGTGCTTAGGTTCGTAAACCTAAGTCTTAACGTGGATGTGAAATATCTAAGGGTAACTTTAGATACGAAGCTGGCATGAAAAATTCACGTAGACCTGAAGATAAATCGAGCGCTGAAAGTTTTCGGACAGTGTAGGAAGAGCTAGGCTCTGAGACCGGTTAAGATATGTTCGATATTCATGTCTCTAGTCAGGCCAATCGTATGGTGCCGCAGAACAATGGTCAAAGCCACGGTTTCTTTGTTAAATAGGCTACAAAGGAGTGTGTGTATAGTCATTACGGATGCCATGAGTACAACGCCAGGGCCGGCTCTTAATGATTTCTTGAGTTTGTCGCCTGGATTTAGTGATCCAAGAGGAGGCAATGAAAACGATGTGTCGACTGCACTGTTTTGTTCTGTGGCACGACGATCGGAGTTCTGGGCCTCGAAAGTTATTCAGAAGGTTGCCAGAGCAATATCATTTATTTTTTTTCACCTAATGACAAACTGATACCTGGAGTCCCCTTTGGAAGAAAGTACGTCGTTAGATTTACTACAAGGGAACAATGGAGAGGTCCAGACACCCTTTGGGAAGCTCGGTGAAAACTTTCTATACCGACGGCTCAAAAACTGAAAACGGTGCTGGACTGTAACTTCAGATGCCTTATCGCTTTGGGGGAATCGGCAATACGATCTTTCAATCGGAATTCTTTGTAATACAGAAATTTGCAGGCTAGATAATTGGCGACAGGTGGCGCGGACATAATGTCAGGACCTGAAGTGGCAGCCAAAACCTTGGAAAACGCTCGCACCTCTCCAAATATAGTCCAGAAATGTAAGTTGAAGGTGCTAGGACAATACGGTATTAAAGGTAACGAGCTGGCTTATGAATTGGCGAACTGCGGTTCTATGGAGCGTCCCTCAGAGCCGTTGGTGCACTATTGACACCAGCAAAATAACCTAGTGTTTCCTGAAAAGGCCTGACAGGATGGTAGCATAATTCCTTCTCAGACAAAGCCCTGATAGGACTGATTACGGGGCACAATCCATGGGGACTACATGTGGTCACCATAGACATCATCTACGATCCACTGTGTACATCGGGTTTGGAGAAAGAGGATAGTAGAGAACATTTTCTCTGTCGCTGTCCGGCCTTCGCTAGACTCAGCCGACACATTTTTGGTTCCGATGTACTGAGAATGGACGAGGTGCATTTTTTTCCTCAACAAAGTGCTTAAATTCATAAAGGAGTATGGTAAGTTTGCAGAGCAGCAATGAGTTCCCACCCCCACCTATATACACCTATCCTCTAAATCCTGTCTCTTGGCCTTAAGTATAAAAGGAAATACTGTATGAGTGCTGGGAAAAATTTGTTTATGGCTTTTCCGGCCACACGATTTCATTACATTCATTCCTGGTTGAGTTGCTTGTTGACTTTAACAAAGTACTAGTTTTTCTGGGATTTTAATTAGAAAGGAGCCAAGGCCAAATGTTCTTTACTAGATCTTTGGGAGAAGATCTAATCTTTCCGCCGCTTCAGATATGAGGATGATGATAATGGTATGTCAGCGAGAAACATATTCTTCGAGGTTCCAGTTATGGATCCCACGCTCTACTGCAGCAGACATTGGTAAATAGCATCTTGACAAGGTAATTCTAATACTTTGAAAGCTGAAATTCATTACAAGTTTCATGCGGGGTTCCTTCAGAGTAGGCCATAGGGGTTTGTCGGGACAGTTATAACTTATAATAATACTAGAAAAAATTGGGTGAAAATGAGACGTCTCTTATGAGTCATGGATGAACTTTGATTTCGTGAAGACGAATGGTGTGGTAGGAAGATCTAACGTTTTGCCTTCCAACAAATATTATAAATGGCGGACGTCATTGTCTTGGATAAGTTTCCAAATAGAATTGTTAGTTAACCGGGACACGACCATCTGCGCCACCTATTTAATATTTCTGTACTTAAAATGTGGTTGTTGTAGATGCTTCCTTGGCCCTACGTAGATTGATTAAGCTACGTAAGACCAAAGAACGTAAATGTATAAGAAGCGACAACTCGTTACTTTGAAAATGTGTCGCGACGATTTTGACCGTATCTGAAAGGTTGAGATGAGGAGTTCGTCTCCCTTTTGACTCTGTCCGCGGCAGATTTTTGATTTTCGCCTCGAATGCGGAATATGCCAGCAAAACAGAAGAAAAGCGGCAAATGTGTGTGAATTTCTGTGGTTATTTGCACAAGTGGTTGAAAATATGCAATTTAATTTAGAAAATATATAAATTATGGTGTGAAATATAGAATATTCAGTGCTTGTGTAAAATACGGAGGTGCTTGTATGTGAAAGTGTCTATATTAATAATAAAAGGGTGTTTGTGAGTGCAAAGTGTTCGTCAACAAGTGTCGATTGTCGGTGTATGTGGATAAAAGTGATCATTATTTTAAACAAGATCAGTGTACTTTTATATAAAAATGCATTAGTTTAATAAGAAATCTATGCATTTATATATGAGTGTACTTATGTTTTGTTTTCATCTGGAAATTTACATATTTAAAGTGTGCAAAAAAAGTTATGTGTCGGGCGATTGGGTGGATAAAGTGTGTATATGGCGGCTTTATTAGCAAAACCAATGTTTATTTTAAAGGGATGGCATAAGTTTAATTTAAATCTATGCATTTATACATGAGTATGCATACATTTTGTTATCGGGCAAGAACAAATGTTTTCCAATTTTTTGTTCATATGCATGCAAA